TATAAATATACATAAAATATACACATTTTTGGGTTGTGGCATAAAAGCGGCTGATTCGCTTGCTCAGGGTTGCTGGTGCCAACCCAGGAGCCAGAGCTCAGCGTGCAGAGAAGCTCCTGGAGCCACAGGAGGGCTGGAGCAGGGCTCAGGTGAGCCCAGGTGATGACCAGACAGAAGCCGTGACCCACAGTGGCTGCCTGTTTCCCTCACCCTGATAATTAGTAGAACTTACCAACTACAGGCCATAGTTTGAGAGAGTTCAGTCTGAACCCAAACACTAATAAAGCACCGGAGAAAATGCTGCAGGAAACACAAAGTTTGATTGCCAGAGCCATTACATTCATAACCTTTTGAGACACAAGATTAGTTCCACACTGGAACCCCTTAAAAAATCCCTCTGTTTCCTGAGATTTAGTGAAGCACTCAAGTCAGCATTTCTCCACAGGGAAACTCACCACTTAAAAGTACTGGAGTGCCTTTTGACACAAAACACATTGAAATGAAAAAAAAATCACAATTCCACCACGCTTCTCCTTGGTTTACCTACTGGAAAGCTCAGCACATCAGTTTCTCCCACCTGCTATACTGTTTTCCAGGCTGCACAGAAGATGAAGACAACGTGAGATGACTTATGGAGACACTAAATGGGCTCAGACCTCCACTCACGGGCACCTGTGAAACTGAGGTGGATCAGGGCTAGACTCTCAGAGGTGTGAAGTGGAGGCTGGACCTGCTGTCCAAGTGGAGACCCAGAAGATGGAGCAGCCAACTGTGGAGATGCTGAGAGTGCTGCTGACATGTTGATGAGTCCTCCCTTCCCCTGGCCCTCCCTGTGCAGTTTGTATTACGTTCTCCTCACCAGAGAGGAGCTCTAATAAACAGGACACTAGGTCTTACTGTTGGAACACAAATGCCTTCTCCCATCCAAGCTCAAACTCTGTAAGAAGCTCCCCTTCAGCCCCTCTTTGGTCCTACATGAAGCTCAGCCACCCCAGAGCATTCCCTTGGGTTTGACAGGGCTTTTCAGCCACGACTCAACCTGGGATGTCTTGCTCCAGGGAAAACTTCCTTGATCTCCCCCCACAGCTGGGAAGGGGGTGTCACAGGGCAGGGACGTGGCTGCAGGGCTTTGGAGTTGGCATCTTTTGGGTGCTTTTTAAAGAGCAAGACAAAGCCATGGGCAGCTTTCCACTTTCCACAAGGCTTGGCATTTTGCCCCCAGTAAAGCTTTGCTCTTTTCCCTTAAGGCAAACACCAAGAGAAATCGGTATAGAAGCCCAATTTTAAGGCCAATTGAAGAAAACAACCACATTTTCAATGCCGGTGTACAGCAAAGCTCAAAGCTCACAGTTTCTCCTTCCCCAGCAAGGGCTGTGAGAGGCTAAAGCCATTTCTGAAGGATGCTATTTCACTCCTGTAACATCCTGCTGACTTGGTGCCTCTTTATCTTTATGTGACTTTTCCACATGGGAGGATCCCAATGGAGTTATTGAGGAAAAGCTGTGGATTGCCCTTAGATCTATTACTGTGTTGCTTTGGACCTCAAAGGGAAAATCTCCTTAAAACTAGATACTTTGTCCTAGAGACTCAGCCTTTCCATTGCCCTCAATGGCATTTTGGCCTGGAGAAGGGAGTTGATTAATCTTCTCATTTCTCTGACAGGTTCAGCTAAAATGCTTCGAAACCTAGCCATAACTGCTCTGCCTCTGCCAGCCATAGTCTGATGTTGTGAAGATTAATGGTCAAGTTTTGCCAAAAAAAAAAGAGAATGAGACCACGTATTTTAATAGTTTTGGGGATTTTTTGCTTTGCTTCTTTCTTCCTTTTTTTTAATACTTGCCCTTTAAGGCAGTTTCCCCTTGGCTGATAACCAGAGCTCCAGCCCTAAGGTGCCAAAACTGTCTTTTTTTCCATAGAAACCCCTTTTTCCTCCTCACAGTTGCCCTCTGAGAAAAAAAAATACCTCTTCAGAAGGCTGCCATAATCCTTTATAGCAGCAGGGTATGATTTTTCAGACAGAAGATCAAGCATTATTAATCCTGAGGACAAAGAGGAGGAAAGTAGTGCCGTACAAAGCGGCAGGGCTCCTGATTTCCAGTGCCAGCAGAGCGTCCCCAGAGTTGGATGTGACGGGGCTGATGCAGATCACACTGCTTGTCCCTAGAGATGTCCCATCCTGAGCTACTGCTGGCATCCACATGAAGTGGAGCCAACGGAGCCACGCTGGGAGAAAGTTTGGCCACCTGGGAGCAGACTCACTGCATCTAAAACCTGCCTGTGTTTCCCCTGCCAGTCCCATCAACAGACTCTGCTTGGGCAAAACTGCTTCTACACAAGGCTCTGCTGCTCCCCATTAGCCAACGAGTAAGAATACATCCCAACAAATCTCAGCCTATGTGATGCCACAGAGGAGAAAGAGACCGCAGCCAGACAAGGCAGACACGGGGGCATTTGGGCAGCACAGCTGGCTGGACAGGAGGTCTCCATTGCCTCAGCCCTACCTGGAGGAGAAAGTCGAAAAGGGCCAGGCGGCTCCACTCGCCCCGTGGGATGCTGGAGCAGGGAGCACTCCCGGCCATCAGCATTGGGCTGTGGGACCGCAGCATTTCCTGGTACTGCAGCCAACCCAGGGTGCAGGAGTTCTGGTCATTGTTGGCGTCCTCCAGGTGCCAGAGGTCAGGTGCCCACCAAATGATGGGTCGCAGGGAGCCGTCAGTGTAACTGTAGGGTAGGAGGTGGCTGGCGAAGCGCCGGGCCACGGC